TTTTATTATTATTATTATTATTGTTGTTGTTGTTGTTGTAGTTGTTATCACATAAGTTTTTATTATTGTCGTCACCGTTGTTGTTGTTTTGTTGTTGTTGATTTTGTAGTTTTTATTGTTTTTGTTGTCATTATTGTTATTGCTGTTATTATCTCTATTATTATTGTTGTTGTTGTTGTTGTTGTTGTTACTGTTGTTATTATTGTTGTTATTGTTGTTGTAGTTTTTGTTGTTGATAGCAACTGTTCTCTTTCTTAGCTGTTGCATATCCAGGTATAGAGATCTAGTATACTCTATCAACTGTCAAGACTGTGCATCGAGACGAAGGAGCTGAATGTTCTTTTTCTCTCGGTTCGTTTCATCATTCGAATATATACCTATATAACTCTAAGTCTGTAAGGGTGTGCGATTTATTCCTGCATGTGGTTGAAAGATGCATCTGATGTGATGTGTGTATTATTATTGTTAACTTTTTCCCCTTTTCATACTGACTTTTTAAAGAAAGTAATACATAATTTAAGCCCTACGTATATCTACATGTGTCTTGCCATTACTGAAGAGCCAAGACAAATTTCCCTGTGGGATAATAAAGTATCATTTATGTTATGCTAAGCTATGCTATGCTATGCTATGCTATGCTATGCTATGCTATGCTATGCTAAGCTATGCTATGCTATGCTATGCTATCTTATCTTATCTTGTCTTATCTTGTCTTATTTTATCTTGTCTTATCTTATCTTATCTTATCTTATCGTATCTTATCTTATCTTATTTTATCAGCTTCATGAGAAGGGCTTCCGCCATATTGACGGTGTCGATCCCTCGCAAGGCATGCTGGACGTGGCGAGAACAAAAGGCGTCTACAACAATCTCATCTGCTCTTACGTCGGCGTGGAAGGTTCCAGGTTGCCTTTCGAAGACGGTGAGTGCGAATACACTATTATATGGAAAGTAGGCCCTAATTGTAAACGTTTTAACCACGTGGGGACGTCCATGGCAGATGTTCGATCAATAACAGGACCAAAGGCAATGTGGCGGCACATTTCAAAGCACCTTACACAAATCAGAAAGACGAATAAGTATACACAGTGATTCAAAAAGAATACGCCAAAATCATGACACGATTTTTCAGAAACGAAAACCAATAGAAGACTCCAGGTTGGACACATTAGTTGTACCAAAGATAGTACATAACAAGATGGTCCACTCAGCCAAAAAAGTGTCCGCCAGAAGTCCGCTCTTTGCTTCAGATGGCACTGCAGTCGGTTTTGAAGCTCTCTTTCGTTTTTCGAGAAGAAGAATAGGAATAGTACCCCCTTGCGTGCGCTGTTCGACTGCTGTTCATCAGCAGTTCGGGTTCATTCAGTGCGGAGTTTTAGGTTTTTTAAAAATTGTAATGACCTCTCGCCTTTCAATCTAAAGTCAAATTAAACGAAGAAAACAATCACCCCTTCCTCCGGAAGAGTTTTTTTGTAAGCGTAACCATTTAAAAAAGCGTTCTTCCGAAATTTATTAAAAAACTTGCTAGTTTCACTTTGATTTTTTTAACACAAGTAGGGTAACTCTGTTCGCAAAGGGTGCGCATTTGCAAAGAGGGCGCCACCGAATTTTGAGGACACACTTTTGAATGGCTCAAAGATAGGAGTGGCCCCTCTTGTTATATAGACTCTTTGGTTGTACATACCTTCAACTTTTTATTTCATGTTTTACAAGTACAAATGCTCAATGTGGCCCCCACTTGCAGCACGGACATCAAACTGGGGTATGCAATTTTTCTGAAACGCACCTCAGGATCATATTATTGTCTAACTCCACCGTGTTGATAGTACCTGTTATACGATCTTTCTAGTCATTGATATTTGCTGGAACTAGTAGAACATAAACCTTTTGAATCACCCTGTATGTTATAGTATGCATGTTGTTGCCAGCCTTTCAAATTTTCAGATACATAAAGAAAACGAAATTGAAAAACAAATCTGCATGAATAATTAAATTTTGATTCTTTTAAAAATGGACCAAAAACAGCGTGTCTTCAAATGTTATTAAAGGACCAAAACTGCGCCTCGTGTTGTGTTTTGTGTTTCAGAGGTCCATACACTACAGCGTGTTGTGTTTCGTTTTCAACAGATATAATATGAGAATATATTAT